AGACTCTTTATGCTCCTCTGAACTGACCAATCAGCATGCACATTTCATTGATGGTCAGCCGGCTGATTATGTGTGCGTCAGACTCATGTTTTGTAACAGAGGTCATGCAGTCATTAAGTAGACAGGAATGGAGCTCATAAATTAACATTGATCTTTTAGTTCATCGCAGACTGTAAATGCATTTTTGTGTGGTTTTTAAACTTTGACACTTGTCAAATGACTTAGTATAGAGAGAACAGGAAATGATGGGGTGAAGAGGGGCAGATGGCATAGCTGGCTTTTTCAGTGTATCTGTGCAAGTGAGAAAGTGATTATGTACAAGCTCCAGAAATTTGATAAAGCCTGTATCAAGTTGCTGCAAGAAGAAATCGATTGCTCGAAATTGTTCAACATATTTATTTACACACAAATTTTAATTTTACATATTTTCTCAAAGCCTTTTGCATGGATTATTATAAAAATAGATAATTTATTAGAAAATAAATGTATAAATTATATTTACTTTATTTAATAGTTTATATTAAAATATGATATGTATACTTTCATAATAATATAATTTATAAATATAAATCTTTTTATTTAACTTTTTAATACACCAATTAAAATGTAATGTTTACATATTTCTCAAAGCCTTGTTTTCATAGATTATTGTAATAAAATAAATAAAAAATATTTATGTACTATGTACAATATATTAAAAAATTTCTTTAAAATATATTGTACAAAATGTTTCATAATTTATTATTAGAAATAATACACAAATTAAAATGTAAAGTTTACATATTTTTCTCAACGCCTTGTTTTGCTTATTATTATTATTATTATTATTATTACAAATGTGCAGCATATTTATAATAAAATACATTTATACATTTTCATTATACATTGTATTTATTTTAGTTTATATAAAATGTAGTGTATAATGATTTATAATTAATATAATTTCTATTTTTTTGTAATAATTTTTTTCATTAGTAATATATTTCAAAGCCTTTGTTTGCATAGCTGACATAGTACAAGTGGCATAGAAGTAAACTGAATTCAAACTTCAATCATTCTTATGAGCACCAGTTCAATGTGACAGCCCATATGTGCCACAACAAATCAGAACTTGTTTATTTGATAGATTTATTAGTTCTTAAACGTATAAATATATAGTTTTACAAGGCAGAGCGCAGTGCTGTTATAGTAGTTCAGTGTGTGTGTGTGTGTGTGTGTGAAAAAGTTTCTTTGAGAGATTGTGTGTGTGTGTGTGAATGGATCCGTCCCTGTCTAAGGGCTAAATGTAGCTGCTTTATATGCACTACTACAACTACAAGTGTGGGCGTGACCAGCAACTTCTGTTTTGTTTGTGTGTGTGTGTGTGTGTGTGTGTGTCAGCACCAGACAGCCTAAAGGGATGTGTGTGTGATGCTTTCCAGTTGACTTTAAGAAGACTGAAAGATCATGAGATCAGAACAAAAGCATCTGCCATTTCACTGCACGTCCTCTTTGCTTGTGAAGAGAAGTTAATTCTTCCTTTAACATACTCTTTGGCGTGTAAAGTTTACAGTGGTTGTAGGATAGCGGTGTGTGCGTGTGGACATCAGGTCTCATCTTGCATTGTTTGTGTGGCATTGTTTGGGCAGACGATCTGCTCGGTATATCTGCTGATCTGTGTTGCTGTGGAAGCGGATCTGGTAACTCCTCATTGGACCACAGAACAGCTCACGGACGAAAGGCCGAAGTATCCCAGCATGCAGCTTTCCACCATCTGTCACGGGCCCTTTGTTTGGGTGTGGGTTGAGCTGCTGGTCTCTGGTTACTCATAACACGCAAAGATACACACACACACACACATATTACAGCTTTAAATCACGTTCCCATCCTTTGAATTTCAACTATCTGATACGGTGTAGCATAAGACTGATGTCCGTTACGGTGGAAAGGCGCATTGACGTGATCAATGGCATCTGTCTCCTTGCGTTAGGATAAACCGAACGGTTTGGCTCATGATCGGAGTTGTAGAATTTCCCATTTTGCTCGAACGGACATGGATGCACGGACTCAGCAGTATATTTCACTGCCTCAGGAGTGTATGATTGATTTTCAGGGTAAATTAAATAACACACAGCTTTATGTAGTATCTCTCTCTGGAAGCACATTCATGGGAATCGAGTTCGTGTTTCTCCCGGCTGGCTGGAGAGCTGAAGATGTCGTCCAAATTGCATGGACTAAATGTATCCCGCAAAGCACCCAGATCGCGATTAGCATATGATTCACTTATTCACAGGATCCGGGACCTGCTGTTTTTTCCAAGAATCTCATTGGCCGCGTGCACCAAGTCAAATTAATTACGCAGCTCACGGAGATTACGATGCCTGCCTTCCAGTGCCACAGTGGAAGATGGTTAATTAGCTATAAAATCAGACTAATTCTGATGCTAAAGCTGTTTTAATTTCTGATAATTAAGTCAGGATTGGATCCTTAAATACCCCAGCATACCATTATTGCAGTAATCATGGTTGTTGTTATGAATTATTTTGAAACCCTCGTCTGTTAGCGTTGATATTTAAGGTAATCACGCTAAGTGAGTAGCTGGAGATAAGTAGATGATATGACCTATATACACTAGGGCTGTGCGATATGGACAAAAAAAAAAGCTATCGCGATTTCTTTGATCAATTTTGCGATTTCGATTTTAATCACGATTTTGACACACACAGACATGCTTTACAGTCATAAATGCATTCAGTGTGAATTTGAAACATATTTCCAAAAGAAAACCAATTAGAACTTTATCAAAAAAGCTGTAACATGTCTCTAGAACAGACATAAGGCAAAATAATCACGAAGTAAAAGTGTAACAAAATGTCTCTAGAATAGACATATATGGCAGAAAAAAAAAATTAAAAAATCCCATGTCCAGGGATTTTTTTTTGCCATGCATTGGTCATAGAGCTCTTTGTGGCGTTGCCTCAGATGTTGAACTAGATTTGTCGCGTCAAGTTCACACGTGCTCTGTCTGCAGTGCGTATACAGTATGTGTATATGTGTATTTCCAACATATGACGATTTCGATTAATCGCACAGCCCTAATATACACTACCATTCAAAGGTTTGGGGTCAGTAAGATTTATTTATTTATTTATTTTTTTGGTGAAGAAATTGATACTTTTATTCAGCAAGGATGCATTTAGTTGATCAAAGACATTTTTGAGGCTACAAAAGATATATGTTTCAAATAAATGCAATTCTATTCAAACTTTCTATTAATCAAAGAATCCTGAAAAAAATGTATCATGGTTTCCACAAAAATATTAAGCATCACAACTGTTTTCCTCATTGATAAAAATAAGAAATCTTACTTGAGCAGCAAATCAGCATATTAGAATGATTTTTGAAGAATCATGACTTTGAAGACTGGAGTAATGGCTGCTAAAAATTCTACAAAAAAACAAGAATAAATTCCATTAAAAAAAATATATTAGAATAAAATGTTATTTTAAATTGCAGTGATTTTTCACAATATTCTTTCTGCTGAAATTTTTCCATCACAGGATTAAATTACATTTTACAATATATTAAAACAGAAAACATTTTAAATTTTTTATGTTTTAAATTGTATTTATTACACTCTATTGAATTATATAATATAATTTATTTTAAATATATAATAAAAATTTTATTTATATTTTATATCTTATGTTTGAGACATGGTTGTGCGTTTTAGAAAATTAAAGTCTTTGCTCAGTCTTTATAGCGTTTTCTGTATGTATGTGTTTTTGTGTGTATGAAGTGACTTGCAACATTCTTTTCACTTTCACTTTTATTACTGTGTCTGTGTTAGCATGTCTTATCTGACCGAGCGCCCTTTTGTGATTTACATCACAGTAATTTCACCAAGAACATATATGTAAATTCAATCATTGTTTTCCACTGAGCACTGAGCAGCATTATTTAGGGTTGAATTTCAAGCTTTAGAGTAACCTGCCATGAACTTGAGTTGGCAGGGTCATGACCTGGTGACCTTTGACCTTTGGAGGCAGGGTATGAGTGAGGGGAAATGGTTAGGAAGCAGAGACAAGGAAGCGAAGGACAGGTGGAGCGAAAAGAGGGATAACAACCGCAGTGGCAGATTGTGGCCTCTGCCGCTGTTTACGCCAATTTGCAGACACTTTCATTGTGTGTGTGTGTGTGTTTTTCGGCATTGCTTTTGGGTGAGGGCTGTTAGTTGATATTCTGTGGACGTTTCCATCTCTGAGATCTAATCGGTGTGTGCATGCCTGCATGTGTGTGTGTGTGTGTGTGTAGCAGAGACATACAAGAAGGAGAGCCGCTCAGGGGACAGGCCACGAGTGTTTATATATAATGACAGAATAACAAAGCTATATGTGCTATACCGTGGCACTCTCTGCCGCTTCCCACAGCGAAATATACTCCTGAGATTAGCATTCAAGCTGAAGATTTCCAAACACATAAACATTTCACTTGTCTTCAGCAGTCAAGTTTTTTTCTGCTTGAATCACACGCTGACGGCTGCTAATCGTATTTTCAGGCGTTTAAAGTACGTGCGGATATGGTATGTTTTGAGGAGAGAAAAAGAAATTCGAGAATGCTTGTGGGGTTTTGTGTGTGTATATGTTGGCTGTGTGCGACTGTCTTTAATATGCGTCTATCCAAACTGTGAAATCTCCACAGAAACAGTTAAAGGCATAATTTGCCTGTTAAGCACATCAAGTGTGAGAACGCTTGTTTTACACGGTGTAAAAATGGCTGTGAATAGTCTTGTAAATCAGTGTGCTGCTCACTTTGTGTGTGTGTGTGTGTGTGTGTGCGTGTGTGTGTGTGTGCGCGCTAAAGTCTGTGAGTGTGTCTCTCTTCTATCATATTGAAGGAGGTCTCAACTGTGAATGAATGGTTAACGTGACAAGCCGAACAAACCCTCTGCCCAAACGGGACATTAATGTGTGGTCCTGTAGAAATATGCTTGTGGGGTTGGTTCATCTTGCGAGCAGACGTGTGCTGTGTGAAGGAGAATGACTGGTGTTAAATAGAAATATTGTTCATGGCAAGTGAAATGTGAAAGGAAGAGTGGCAGGCTGTGTGTGTGTGCGAGAGCTCACTCTAATTATCGATTGGATTGTGCTTGACAGATATGGAGTCTGGAGAACGGCTGGCCTCGCCTTCCACCACCCCGGCCTCCGTCCACACCGCCACCTCTACATCGTCATCTTCCTCCTCTTCCTCATCCACAGCAGCCTCCAATGTGAAGAGCAGCCTGAACCACGCAGCCACGGCCTCGCTCGGCACATGCGGTAAGAACTCTTGCACACACACACTCTCTTTCATGCCCTGACGCAAGGGTTGCTTATTGTTACAGTGTGAAAAGTGCTCAGTCAAAACTCACGCACAATCTCACACACACACACACACACACACACCACCGAGTGTCGCACGGGCATGCTTTGAGCTCATCTCCAAGTTTAGACTGCGTGGTTGGTGGCAGATTGGAGACTGATGTCATCAGGGACCTCTCTTCCTGTCTGATGAAGCATCTTTTTTTTTTCTTTGAGTGACGTGATAAAGCGCATATCTTCTCTGCTGATTGAGTCTTGTCTGATAAGGCACAAGTGTTCACTTTCTCAGATTCTGTTCTGGTAAAGGGATAGTTCTGCCAAAAATGAAAGTTCTGTCATAATTTACTCTTCCTCATGTCGTTCCAAACTCAAATAAATTTTTTTCTGGGGAACACAAAGGGAGATTTTTTCGTGGTGACTGTTCTTTTTTTGGAATTAGGACTGGAGCTGTCAAGAGCCAAAAAAGACAAAAAAAAAAAGCATCTTAGAGGTAGTACATATAACTCTTTGTTAAAGGGTTTGCTTGACACGTGAAAACAGACCTTGTTGGTTCTCGTGTGTCAAGCAAGTACAGTAGAGGTTCCATTTACCATATGTGATGTGCTCTATGCGTGTTCTATATTAATAAAACTAAATAAAACGAAATTAAATCATATGAAGTGACTGTCTCTTCTTAAGATTTGGATGGTAACACTTTAGAATTATTAATAGTTAGTAAGTTAGTTGTTAAGTTTAGGTACAGGGTGGATTAAGGGATCTAAAATACGGTCATGCAGAATAAGGCATTAATATGTGCTTTATAAGTACTAATAAACAGCCAATATGCTAGTAATATGCATGCTAATAAGCAACTAATTAATAGTGAGAATTGGTCCTTAAAATAAAGTGTTACCATTTGGATTAGACCACTCCATTCATATAGATTACTTTTACGATGTCTTTATGAACTTTTTGATGAGTGAAATTTATGGTTATGTGAACTTGGACAAAATTATGAGAAAATATCAAAAATATCATCTGAAGATGAACTGAAGTCTTGTTGGTTTGGAATGACAAGAGGGTGATTAAAAGATGATAGAATTTAGATTTTTGAGTGAACTATCCCTTTATGTCATTTGAAGACAAACTATAGCTTTATGTGAGAAAAAGGCCGAAATGTAAGTATTTTTAAGTTATTTTCTGAAAATATTCCCCACATAGGTTTGGAAATACATGAGTGTGAGTAAATTATGAACTATCCCTTGAAAGTTAGTGTAGTGCAGTTGCATGGCTGCCAATAGCAAAGCTATTTCTTAGTAACAAAGTGATAATGTTGATACTTTAAAATTTTTTTGCTTGGGACTAAAAAATCAGTTTTAGCAGGCTAGCAACACTACTGTGTTTTTTTTTTTTTTCCTGACAATATTTAAGTAATTAAGTCACATATCTGGTGGCTTTTTAGAATCCGAACTAGCAATGGCTGATTTGTGAATTAATCAATCTTTTCAATGAATTGGCTGAACAGCTTAACAAAATCGATTCACAATTCAGTCTGCATTGTTCAGCTCACTCACCCACTGAACTGTGAAAGATTTCTAAATAAAACAGTAATAGGATACTTCAATACACAGAGAACAACAAGAGTGCTGATGCTAAATTAAATGTTTACCCAAAATCAGTTGAAACCTCTCTCTTTTTTTGGAGCTTGAAAACCCTTGTGTTTAAACACAGGTTTAAAATGATATTAGGGTGTGTAATTAAATGATAGAATTTAAATATTTGGGTGAACTTATATGAATCGCTTTTCCAACTGTCCATAGTCTTTCTATCTGATAAAGCATCTCTTCGACCTCTCTCTTGTGTTTTGTTCCTTATGTGGCGCAGTCAGGGCTAAAGAAAGCCACCGACTTGCTCCTGTCGTAATTACCGACTTATTGTTCAGCATGTGAAAACACCGTCCAGGATTTAGCACTCACAGTTTTGGCTGCAAATTGAAAAGCTGCTGCATTAATGAATCTCAACCAATTAACTAGGCCTTTGTTAATACTGCTGTCATCTCACTCTCCACCCCCGTTCACATAAACACATGCGCACACGTGAACGCACAGGCGCACAATAACACAGCTTTCCCTCCATCCTTCCTGACACTCTTAAATATCCTCTTCTCCTCTATAAACTGTAAAGTTTGTTAGGCTCCACTGACTCTTTCCTGTTTGTAATTCGCTCTGTCTGCTCTGCTTTCGTTTTTGGCCCTGTGTCGTTTTCTGACGAGACTCTCATTAACAGTTGATATTCCACACGGCTTTCCACTCTTCTACTTCCACACCAGCCCGAGAAGAGGAGTCACAGTGAAGGGAGACCTTTTGTTTTTGCCATTTTTCCCTTCAGAGTTTTGGATTTTTGAATATGCAATTCCAGCTCCGGCTCATCTCTCTTGAAATTCAAGTACCCAGCAAAATTCAGGTTCAAGTACTCACCAAGGCTTTGCTGTTCTGTTTTCACAGAAATAAAATATAAAGCTCGAATTTTAGTTGGAGCTGTGGCTTAGTGGTTACTGCAGATGCTCCTGACAAGTTGAGCCATGGTGCTCGTGTGGGTAATGCAGCTTCGATTCTGGCTTCTAACTTTTCCTGAATCCATTCAACTTTCCACTATTTCTCTCTATTATACAGTAGTTGGCTTCAGTCAACTAATATGATAAGGAAAATTGGCATTCCAAGTAGGGATGGGTCATGATGCAGAACTAGTTGACTATTCGATATACTAATAATGCTTTAAATCATGCTATAAAACTCAATTCTCTGAGACGTTTAGTCTTTAAATGTAATACAGTCAAACATGGACATCAAATGTTTTTGTTGCTCTTTTTGATCATCTTGCATTATTCTCATTGCTTTGCGACAGTGAGTAAAGACAAAAATAATTCGACATATTCCTTTCTTTCTGCTTCACTAATGAACCTGAAACCAGCCTAATTATTCTAGGCATCCTGAAGACCAGTTAGCCAGCTAGTTTTTCAGTAACCCATTAAATAGTTCATTTTAAAATATGAAGTTTTTAATTCCAAGAGTGCAGACTGTTTGCATCACCCCACTTGTCTGTGATTACTACATAGAATTCCAGCACTTGATCCTGCTTTGTCCTTTCTTGGGACTATTTTTGTTGGCTGTGCCAAAATAAAATAACTGGCCATATTGTGTCTAGTACTTAATATTAACTTTTTATTTATAGAGCAGTTTTATGTAAAACAGTATTTTATAAGCAAGAGTGCTGTATTACTGAATATCACTATAGCTGTGATTGCCTGTAATATTCTGTACAATAAGCATTCCTGCTCATGTGATTAAAAAATGGAAAGAAATCCAAAAACAAAGAATGATCCATTTAAAAAAAAAAGTGATTTACTTGGGTTAAACAGACAAGAGGACCTCGGTAATTCAGTCCTAGTTGAGCTGATTAACGTTCAGAATGAGACTATCCCTCGACAGGTTCTCACAGCGCTATCATTACCGCTTTAAATGCAATTAACACTTTGTCCCACTAAATCACCGGCCCACAAGCGTGCCAGAGCGGTAGATGATGTTCAGGTCGAGAACGAGGTGCATCTGGGCTGAAACAGAGAATATTTTAACCTCTCGCAGAACAAACGGCGGCCACATGTTCGCACTTTTTCTCGCCGTCCCCCTCAGACACACAGACAATTAAGTCGGCTGTCAGATCTGTCTGTAGAAATGTGATTGATGCAAACGGAGGGCACATTAATCGACTTCCGCCGCATCCCACATAAGAGAGCGAACGAGGAGACAGGTGGGGGAGGACAGTGCCGCTTTTCAAAATGGCTCGGTTTGTCAGAAGATGGAGAACATGGGAAGGTGTGTTGGTGGGGGGGGTGGGGGCAAGCGAAGAAAGAGAGAGTTGGGGAAAGAGAACGAAGGAGAAAGATAAAATAAGAAGGATATCAGGTAATCCGGTAATTCTGCTCTGCTCCTCTCAGAGGCTGATTTAATTATTGCCGGCTGAAAGCGCATTAATATGAAACTGGCGTTTCTGCCACTCTGTGTGTTTGTGTGTGTGTGTATGTATGTGTGCCAGCAGGAGCGGATGATGGTCTTTGGGGGAATATTTCCTCTCATTTATCTTCACATCCGCCTCTCTCCTTCTCAAGCTCTTTCTTTTCATCCTTTTTTCCTTCTTTCGACGCCACTGTCTTTTTCAGAACAAACCCCCAAAACATACAGGCTGTACTGGATTTTTGTGTGTGAGAATTAAAAAGGACAGGCCTTAAAGGGTTAGTTCACCCAAAAATGAAAATTAGCCCATAAATTGTGGGTAAGTGAGATGTCTGGATGATTAAGATGGAATCACAAATTGAAATGTTCTATACGATTATTCACAAAACTAGCGCCACTAGTTCTGATTCTAAATGGTTGTCAGAAAATAGCTGACGTGATGTGCTTAAATACAGTCATGGAAACGTAACATGCTGTCTGTTAAAGTTTGTACCTCGTTTCAAAATAAATAAAATAACTTCACTACATTTTTCACTACAACACTACAGTACAACTCTGGCTTTACAAGGAATAGTAACCCATACTGTCATCATTTACTCAACCCTTGTGTCTTTTTTTCTTCTGTGGATAATAAATGGAAAATTTAAAAAAATGCTTAGACTGGTGACCAGCATTGTGTCAAGATGAAATGACGTCAAAGACTCGTAAATGCAGTCGATATGACTCAGGGTGCACTTTATTCAATGTCTTAGGGTTTCGTCACATTAGCAAAATTTTGCGGGTAAAATAGGTTCATTTGTCTGTTGTCAGTAGTGTAGTGATGTATGAAGCTTTCACTTTCAAACCAAACAGCTTTCTGTTGACTGCACGAAATTCACAGAACAACATGAGCGCACCTTTATTAAGACATTTAGTGTGAGGAACAGACTGAAATTTATATCATATAGGCAATATGGGTTTTGACAGACAAGAAAGGAAGTAAATAATGACAGAATTTTCATTTTTTGGGTCAATTATTATTATTATTTTTTAAAGGTACTGTAAGAAAAACAGCTTGTTTTTAAGGGTCAGAGAGAGAGAGTGGAAAATGGTCATGTAAAACTAAATTATGACTGTTTTCTTGGACTTTTCAAGTGGACAAACATTTAAAGTGGACTCCAAGGAAAAATCCTGCAAAAAAAATCAGCATGCAGCAGACAGTTCCTACAGTCTTCAAACATAAACAACAGCAAAGGGAAGTCAAGGCCCTCTCCTCCTCTCCGTCCCTCCTGGAGTTATAGCTATCTGCAAAAATCCTGCATTTCCCATCATCGCTTTTCTCTGTGTGTGTGCGCGTGAGAGAGAGAGCGCTGGTGCGGTGCTGCGCTGGCGGAACGGTGCGCTCAAGCCTTTCTTCTCTGTGCTCCCTAATGGAAATTGAATTTGCATGAAATATGCGGCTTAGAAATTACATGTGACTCCTGAAGGAGACAATGGGCAGCATCAGCGCTGCCAGAGGAGATCGATCCCAGAAAGGATGCAATCTGGATGATGATGACGATGATTAATACGAAGAGCTCTGTGTTTACATGTATACCGAGAGCCTATACAATGTCAAACAAGAGATTGAAGTGATTTATCGAACTCAGAGAGGGTGCTGTGATATCTTATAGAATATCGTGGAGATGCCAGAGCGCTTTGGGCGTCTTCTCTCCCACTTCTTCCTTGTTCTATCACGCGGAGACTTTCATTTGGTCTGATCATAGTTATTAATCAAATGCTGTCGGAAAGCCTGTGATTACATTAACATTAACAGCCATCAAACTGTCTCTCATAGAGTCTCACACACACGTTTACTAAGAGGCCTAAATGAAGGCATAACATAGACTGTTGTTTTTTTTATTATAAATAATTATATAATTTGAATTTATTATTTAATTATCAATACAATAGACTGTCCCTACTCCTAATAGAAAACTTTCAGCATTTTGAAAGTAGTCTCCAAATGAACTCAAGGGGAGGTTTCATCATATTTAGCTAACTTCTGGGGACATGCGGGGAAACCCCTCCACGTCTGCTCTCATGTGTACATCTAAACACACATTACTGACAAACAACGCAAAAGACAAATTGCTCATGCTGTCTCCTTTTTTGGACTTTGGCCTTTGTGGCTGAAAATGCAGCTTCATGAGCATTGCTCAGTCATTTCCAGATATGTGGCTTCAGAGACTGAATATGTCATGGTGTTTTGTTTGTGTGTGTGTGTTTGATGGGGCAGGTCCAATGTTTGGGTTGACGGGCGGTGACCAGCCCTTCAACGTCAGCTCAGTGACCTCTCTGCCCAGTGCGTACCCGCTCATGGCCCACCCAGCCTTTGGTCTGCTATCACCGGCGACAGCCCGCCCAGAGTTTGGGGGTCTAGGAGGACTGGGGGTCTCTGCTGCCCTCGCAGCTCATCCACAACTAGGAGCCTTCACAGGTATGTGTGTGACCGAAAGCCTGATGACACAAAATCCTATGTAACCAAATGACACAAAAATATAATATTCATAAATATTAATAAAATGTTATATTTTGATGGTGTATATAACAGTATAACAATAATAACAATATAATAACAATGACAACAATAATAGTGATAAAAACAGTAATAACAATAATTACAATAATAATAATAATAACAATAAAAAATGCTTACGTTTGTGGCCGATTATTCATGACCGAAGTCCTGATAACAATAAAAGTCCTGATAAGTCCTATGAAACTAAATAAAGCAAAAATATAATTTTCATAAATCAATATTAAGTAACAGTATTTTATTGTATTAGTATATACCAGTATAACAATAATTATAATAAGAAGAAGAAGATTATTATGATTATTAAGAAAATTACTGTTATTATTATTAAGCATTTATAATAATAATAATAATATGATCAAATATTTATATTTGAGTCGTGTCTCATTTAGATTGTCTGCCCTAAAGTTAAGAGGTAATTGACTCTTTCTTTTCTCAGAATGGTGGAGAGCAGCAGAAGCACATGGACGGAGTTCTCCAGCCTTCTTCCCACCTTTTCTGGGTCTGCCGCCTATGTTTGCCCCGCCGCTTCACAACCATGAGGCCAATCCTTACACATCCAAAACACCCAACAAGAGCAGTCAGGCCTCCAAAGGTAATCATCTGTAAAGCCCTAGTCTATATCTGCCTCCTGGAAAATGTATGCCATCCCTTGGAGGCAGACTTCAAGTTAAACAAAAGTAATGCAGCAGTAATGTAGCCTTCAGGCTGGTGTACTCACAGTAATCATCGCCTTGAGCAGTCGCCTCCAGTGATGAATTCATAAGGTGGCTTATAAGGAGATCTTTTGTATCCCTGATAAAGGCTATTTGACATAGTATACATGTTGACGTAAATCTTTATTTATTTTCTTTTGTAGCAAGAATTTGCATAGTTTAAAAGCATCTGATTGCTTTATGTAAACTCTTTTGTGCGCAGGTGTGAATGGAGCTGTGAATGGTCGTTCACTGTCTCCATCTGCGGCTAAAGGAGCGGTTTCGGCTTCTGCCTCCCCCTCCCCCGCGCTCCGAGTAACAAAAACAACCTATTTAATGCTGAGGGTCGGTGTTGAGTTTAAAAACACAATATGACTGTTGTTAGTGTTAACTAAACCTTAACCAACAAGTGGACTTCTCTCTCTTCTCTCTTGTTTGCGCAGATTGTGACGCCAAACTCTGGGCTCAGTAAGAAGGAAAAGACCAGGCTGTTGGAGGCCAAAGACTTCCGTGGAGGCCTGCTGGGCAGTGCACCTTTAGAGCCCTCTCCTCCAGTGCACCTGCATCGCTCTCCACCTCCTCCAGGCCTGTCTCAACCCCCTCTGCTATCTCTATCGGGCAGCAGAGCCAGGGAAAGACCCCTCCACACCAGTGTCATCCAGTCCACTGGCCTGGCTGCAGGCGCTAAACCGTTAGCGCTAATCGCACAGTCACGTCGAGACATTTCTCCTAAACATTCTCCACAGCATCGCACCTCCTCTCCAAAAACCGCATCAGCCACTACCAAGCCCCTCACTTCCTCACCTCAGCCCCTCCCACTCTCGTTATGCCCCTCCCCCAAACCACTCTCACTCCCCCACCCCTCCCCCTGTCTTCTTCTCCCAAACCTCCCCCTCTCACCCCTTCCCTCAAAGCGCAGTCTCAAGCTTCCTCCCAGAAGCCCCAATCTCCAGCGCTGGATGCTCTGACCAGCAGGAAGATTCTGGAAAGTTCTCTGGCACAAGTCACTGCTGACTACAGGCTGAAACAGGTGAGTAGACAGTCTGCCACGGTCTGGCGGGAGAAATGTGAGACTGTTCATCCTTCAAGTCCATACATTAATCTCGCTTTTCCCTCAAGGCCGGTGTCCACATTTTCATTTTCCAGAAAAGCAAACCAGCTAAAGCAAATTATCCACAGTTTGTGTCCGTATCTTTTAAGCCAATTTAGGATTATCGCTTTTAGGGTGCTGTTGGTATTCAGGACGTGTCTCTCCTTATTGACCAGCCTATTTGAAAAGGTCAGAGTAACGGAGAGGGAGAATGTGAGGGGGAGAGAGAATTATTTGTGTGTGCGTGTGTGTGTGTGTGTTTGTGAATGTGTTGAAGACAGAAATGCAGAGAGAAGGACAGAAAGGACAGCTCCATTCTCTTATCAGTAGGACTGGCTTCCCTACTGTGTGGCTTTAGTTGGTAAATGAAAGTGACAATGTCACTTTATTAGAATTACTGAAGCAAAACCAACAGGCAATTAACTCCATGACTTCTTAAGGGTCCAGATTTCAGCAAATGAGTGCCTTTTCCTCACCTCTTCTTTTGTTGCCTTGAAATTACTGTTGAAGAGGTTAATATAGTTTTTTTTCTTCTACTTGTAATTAACCAGAGTGGTTTTATTATTATGTTACAGTGATGAACAGTTTCATAATATTTAGATTTTATTAGTGGTGCTTACTAAGGCAACTAACAGTGTTACTCTTGCTCATACATGAGGATCTGGTGTTTGTGCTGTCTGAATGCTTCCTAAAAACAAGATTTTCGTCTAGCGGACTATAAAATGAACAAAGCCGGCATGAAATGAAAGTTCACCAAATCTATTTTCTAAATACATGTTTTTGATAATTGATCTTACTATGAACGATTCATCCATGTATACGTTATTTAATTTATTTTTTTACCTTTTGCTCTAGTTATTTTGTCTGCATAAACCCTGCCTCTTTCTTATTATCGACTGCAAGCTTTTATTCAGATCTGCCGCCATCCAATCAACAACCGATGGATAGAACCAAATCCCTGCCCCACTGGGAATTGGGTTTGTACTTCAGGGGCTTATTACAATGCTCCAGAACATCATAAGTTCAGTTCACACTGCACCGACAGACGCAGACAAACTGTAACACGTTTGTCGGGTTTTGTCGAATCAGTGTGCGACCCTGTCTGTGTTTATTGGCATTGGTGGGCACTTGTTTTCGCCAGTTGAACATGTTGACACTTGGAGTTGGGCTTTTTGGCAACACCATATCAAACAGCTAGAATGTTCTAGCAACCTCATAGCAATGGTCTCACAAACAGCAGTTTTCTGAAGAAAATGTAAACCTGTATTTTCAGTTTATTATTCCAATATATACATGTTCATGAGTTTGGGAACTATAATGGTGCTATGAAGATTTCAAGTGGTTGAGCTGAGTGGTTGAAGGCAGGCAGAGTTTGAGCATTCCTTCTTTAATGAATGTTGTGTAGCTGATAGAGTCATGGCCGCGCTGTTGTTCTCTGTTTCAGTGAGTCAGAGCAGCATTATGCTCACTCACTCTCTTCCTCCGCCAGCACTTAAGCCACATGACAACCAGTGCAATTACCACATCTCCACTTCTCCCTCTCTGCTGTTTTTCCCCTCTCTTTTTGTTTATCAGTCAATTTGTTATTTCTTACTCCTCTCATCTTTGCCCTCGGTATACATATCTCACTTTCTCTGAAGATGTGCTTTGTTCATGGAAATCCAGTCCTGTTTCACTTTGTTTCAAAAACAGTATTGTCCCACAGCAGTACTTGCTGTAATAAGTAATAGATAAATAGATGTATATAGATAGATACAAAAAATAAACAGATATAAAAAAATAAAAAGTGAGTTTCATTCACTATACCAGAACTATACCAGCAGACATATGAAAAAAATCACATATTCCCATGTGGAATGTATATTTATATATATATGTATGTATATTTATATATATGGGCTCATGCTCAATGCTAACTATAAAGATAACTAAAATGATGATGCCAATGAACAATAATGTTCTGTTTTTTTAATAAGCATTTATAATAAGAGTTATGTTGTCTGCTTTATTAGCTGAAAAAAAAATTGTTCTGAAAGTGATTCTAACAAAATCGTTCCTCTGTGTTGTAATCATTATAGCTGTGGTGTGGAGTTCAGTATTTTCAGAGAATTATGTGTGTTAAAACTTAATAGTTAATCGTTAAAAGTTATCATCAATGGTGTAAACAGCCCTTTATATTTAAAAAAAAGAGCCATTTCAGCAGCCATTTCTCCAGTCTCCATTATCACATGAACCTTCAGAAATCATTTTAATATGCTGATTTGGTGCCCAAGAAACATTTCTTATTATTATCAAGTTGAAAAAAATTGTGCTGCCTAATATTTTTGTGGAAACAGTGATGCACTACCATTCAAAAGTCTGAGGTAATTAAGATAAAAAAAAAATAAAGAAATTAATACTTTTATTTAGCAAGAATGCATTAAATTGACCAAAAGTCACTATAATGACATTTGTAATACCAAAGATTGCTGTTTGATATAAATGCTGTTCTTTTGAACTTTTTGTTCACCAAAGAATCCTGAAAAAAGGCATTGATAATAATAAGAACCATTATTAATAATTGAGCAGCACTAATAACTGAGCACCAAATCTGCATTTTAGAAGGATTTCTGTGACACTGAAGATGAAATAATGTTTGCTGAATATGCCAGCATAATTTACGTTTTTTTTTAACTGTAATATTATTTCACTTTTAATGTTTTGTTTTTTTTATCATTTACCTGAAAATAAGAACAGATGTATGTGTCCACCCATTGTCCAGTGAAAATATTGCTATATAACATAATAACAGAACCTTTTCTGTTGATGTGCACAGCTTTTTAGTAAATTAGTCTGGATGCGATATAGACTTGTTTTAGTTACTTTCCATCATCGTTCCCTTTGTTTTTCCTTCTGCAGTCTTTCCTGTCCCAGGACCAGACGTTTCCTCTCCAGTTAAAGAAACAGCAGGACCCATATAAGATAAACAAGAGGGCAGAGGCACTCACGTCCTCTTCCTCATCTTCATCCTCCTCCTCCTCTGCGCTCCCTCTTAAGCTCAGCTCCAAAGCATCAGGTAGGACCAAGCCCCCTGCAGCGCAAGGCGTGTCCTCCTCCAGTCTGCCTTTCTCTCATGGCCTGCTGGGTCTGGGCCAGCCTAACGGAGTCGTCCCGAGCACCCAGGATATGCCGTTGGCCCTTACCACCAAACCTCGCTCAGATGTGCCTGTCAACCTCAGTACGGGAGGCCGTAAGAGCCCCGCCTCTGCGTCTCCCATTCCTAACCGCACCCGTGAGCCCCGGAAGAGCAAGACTCCCAAAGCATTAGAAGCCTGGAGGGGTTTATCCCAGAACCACCTGGTGCAGTCTCTGGTTGACCTGTTTCAACACAGCGGAGCTGAGCAAAAGCTGCCCAGCAGCAAAGACTCAGATGACTCTGCTGAGGACGAAGATGATGAGGATGATGATGTGGAGGATGAAGAGGATGATGACGAAGAGGATTCAGATGACAGTCTCTCAGGTGAGATGCCTAAGGACAGAGGTTTTGTAAGTGCATTAAAGAAATAGATTGTCCAGAAATTAAAATTCTCTAATTTTTTATGATTAAATAGAATGAAAATGTATTGAAAATTACAAAAAAATAAAATCACCATACATTTCTGTGTAAATAGTTCACGGTATATAGTGGTGGATAACAATTAAAATTTTTTTATTTTTTTTTTATTTTATCCTGATCCAAAAAAATATTCCTTAAATTATTCATTGCTGAATATCATTGCATTTTTATTTCAAAATAGATCAGATTATGAAAATTATATATGTTGCTATTGCACTATTTCAATTTCTGTTTAAAGGAGCAGTCCACCTAAAAATGTCACCATTTACTCAACTTCCAAACCTGTATGACTTTCTTTTTTCTGCGAAACACAAAAGATATTCTGAATAATGTTTGTAGCCAGACATTTTGGTTCCCATTAACTACCATTGTATTTTTGTCCATACAATGCAAGTCAGTGGGAACGACTGAAAGTGAGTAAATTATAACAGAATTTTCATTTTTGCGTGGACCATTCCTTTAATTTGGTTCATTGATACAACCAATGACACAAGGCATGCTATAATGAGCAATTCCATAAACACGGTCTCATGTCCTCTCTTCTCTTAGAGTCAGACAGTAATTCAGACAGCGAGATGAACGGCTCAGAGGGTGGTAAAAAGAAGCGCAAGGATGGAGTCATGGAGATGGACACCGATGGAGAGAAGACTCCTCAGAAACTCAGCAAGGGGTTTTCCCATCTGAACTTCTCCACGAATCACAGCCTGTCTGACTGTCTGCCACTAAACCTCCAAGTCATTAAGCCCTCCAGTGTGGCCACGCCCACCGTTGTGAGCAGCTCCGGTGCCTTGACCTATCACAGCTCTCCCTCCTCATCATACTCTGTTGGCACCTCTCCAGGTAACCACAGGCAACGTCATTACTAAACTAAAACTGGATATGCTTGACACCTTCCTTTGGAGCTCTGTCAGTGTCAAAGTGTGCATGGGGTTGAATATGTGTCGTGTGTATGCGTATGCCCTTTTGTTTGTGTATTTGTCTGTGTGCAAGCTGTCACACTCAGATGACGTAGTGTCTATTTTTAGAAAGATAAATGGTGGCGTCTGGCATCACTCGGCTCCCTTTGTGCCCGTCTATTTGGGTGTGCGTCCTTGGACCTAGCCGTTGTCTGTTTGGCCTGTATTCCAGGAAAAAAACCTAAACAGAATTAATATTAAACTGTTTCCTTTAATTGTGTTTGGTTTATACAGGGTCAGGTTTAGGGTTAGGTAAATGTAGCTGGTAACGAGAGCTCTTAGTGTGGTGTCTGGGTTAACCCCGGTAACTGTGTTTGCCTTAACCTGTTAGCTGAGGCACATCAACCAGCTCTGTTTGGCTGACTTAATCAGTTTTTTCCTTCTGAAGCTAACAGAGACATTTGTTAAACAAAACACTCACAAACCCAGCAAACATGGCACACAAGTGCATCTGCTCTTGGACGGCATTCAGCATTCCTCACTGCGATGGAATGAAACGCTTTTTCTAATGAAGCCGAAGTGTGTCTGTTGAAAAGCGCAAGGAATCTGTAATAAGCTGAGAAGAGTTACTGCGATGATTTGTTTTTGGAGCATTATTTGAGCTGCTGAGAGATTCATTTAACTCCCGTTTTGTTTGCAGACTTCACTTCTCTAAAGGAGAGATGTGAGAGAGATGATTTTGTTAGTTTCTTCCTGTGGTTTTTGTTAATGTCACTGTTGCTATTACTCATATTTTAAACAACACCCTATCCCTAAGCTTTTAACTTGAATGTGTAGATCATCTTGCATAGTTTGTGCTACGGGCATGAATGATACTTCAATTCATGCAGCTTGTCTAGGAGAGCTATTCGTTTACTATTATGTGATCAGATGTTTACCTGCCTAAAAATGAGGCCAAAAAAAAAACATAAATTTAGGTACCCAAGTCAAATGTAAGTACCAAAATACCATATTTGAGACTTGGAAGTGAGTTCTTTTGGCTTGGCCCTCTAAGCAACCATCAAAAACACCCAAAGTAAATTGCAAAGTAACACATTAAAAAACAGGTATACACAATATGTAGGTACTATTATCAATTATTGACTGTTTTTGTTTTTTTTAATTAATTGTACTAATTTTGCATGCACTGCTGTTCAAAAGTTTGGGGTTGGTAAGATTTTTCAAAATGTTTTTGTCTCTTATGCTCACCAAGGCTGCATTTATCTTTTTTGAATTGTAATTTATTCCTAAAGCTGAAAAGTAATAATTTCTTTAAAGAAATTTTTTTTTTTACTAACCCAAACTTTTGAACAGAAGTTTGTAATATCGGTCAATATTGTATATTTATTTGTTGATGCTCATTTGTCCTATTTTTACATAACATTTCTTTTACTTAATTTCTTTTTACTCACAGTTAATCTTTAAAAACACCCATAATTTAATAACTATGCTTAGCAAGCCTCAGAATTATTATCCGTTTTTCATACTGTACATTAGAATATAATGATGCCTAAATTTGCTTGATTTTTGTTTTTAAGTGTTTAATTTTTACTTTATTTAAAAATACTGTATATTTTAAATCATTGCCATTTTTGTTTATCTTCCATTAGCATGAAAATAATTCGTTTTATCAGTATCAGCCAGAATTTTAATATCAGTGAACCCCTAGTTTTATGCGTGCAGGCACCATCAAAAGAAGAGCAAATAAAATTCAAGGTTTTATTTGATGTTGTTTGCTCATTATGTGAGTTGTAATTTGTAAGAGATATTGAAACGGTTTGCTTAAAGTGTGTGTGTGTGTGTGTGTGTGTTATAATGTGTTTTGTCTGGCTGTTGTCTTGTCTCAGGCTCTGCGAAGAGAAAGCGAGTGATGAATGAAGATGATTTACGGATTCCGCTGGAAATGGGGTACGTTTAAATATGACACACGCTGGTGGCAGCATGACTCAACACCTGTTAACCGCAGCTCTGCATTCTGTGCTTCTAAAGCAACAGAGCACACAATCTCACACAAACATCGCATTAAAACTGCAGATGTTTAAATACTCTGCTCAAATCAAAATTCTTTGCTCTATTATTACAAACCCATTCCAAAAAGCAAAGTGGCAGTAGCATAGCACAGTGGAGGTATAATGGCATGGTACTTAGACACTGTAAATGATTGTCATATTCGCATTCATAATTCATATTCAACATATTTGCGTGATATCATGGTATTATCGAGGTACATGTGAATGCCACAGCAAAAACTTATATGAAATCAATTCTAGAGAAAAGGTTTGAAGTAAATTCAAATCTAGGTAGGTGCCATTTAGGCCATCTAACATTTATCATGCCTTCCTATGACTGTTAAGCATATTTTACTTGAATGCATAGTTTTTATTGTAAATAGACTACGATTTTACTCCGATATGTGTTTAACTGATATATTTAAAAAGGTATCACCTGACTGTATTTTAAATATTTCGTCTTGTATTAATCCTAAATGCCTTATATAGGTTTTTTTGTTTGTTTGTTTTTGTGATTTTTGTTATTCAGTTTGTTCTTGCCAGGAAAATATGCTTGCTGATGACATGTCTTTAAATAATCAATCAATCAATCAATCAATCAATCAATCAATCAAAGTGCATGTATTACCATGCTACCATGCCCACTATCATATAAAATAAAATTAGCATTCAAAAATTGCATAAAAATGAAATCAAATATCATAAAAATAAATGTTTTAGTTTATCGAGCAGTTTTTGAAAGTTTGCCCAAATGTGTTGTATTATCCACTTTTTCTTCGATGTGTGTTATTGTTCCAGCTGGCAAAGAGAGACCAGGATGAAAACAATGGGCGGTCGGCTGCAGGGAGACGTTGCGTATTATGCCCCATGTGGCAAGCGCCTGCGACAGTACCCGGATGTCGTAAAGGTAACTTTTACCTGTCTTCCCCGCTGCCTTACGGTTAGACCCCCCAAACGCTCCGGAAGCCTCATTCCCCACCCCTTTCCTCTCCCAGTGCACCATTAGCATTTATTGGTGTAAGATCCAGCTGGTCACTTCGGTGCACTGTTATGGCAAGTGTGCTAGGCTGCTTTCAGTTTGGTACCATTTTAGTGCTAATGGCTCTCTGGATGTCCTGTCTGACAAAATCACTATTATTCTCTCTTCTGTAGTATCTGTCCAGATACGGAATAACTGACATCACACGTGATAATTTTAGCTTCAGTGCAAAAATAAGGGTTGGTGACTTCTATGAAGCCAGAGAAGGACCCCAGGTGAATGCCTTTCATCTCCTCTTTTTCTTTTTTTTTTTGTTCTTTATGTTCTTTTTTTCTCTTTGTCTCTCTCGCTCGTATTCTTTCGCTCTCCGTTTCACTCTTTCATCTTGAACAGGGCAGGGAATTTGATTGAACCCCGATAGTCTGAATTTCCTCTTTTAAACTGTAGGGAGTCTGTGCAATAATCAGCGCTCGTTGTTTTCACAGGGTGTTACTTCATGTTTTGTCTGTCATGTGTGCTGAAAGAGATTCTTTAGATTTAAAGATAAAGTGAAGCAAAAGTTGGGACTGTTTATAGACTAAAATTTAAATGAAATTGACTCTCTTGTTTTTTGAATTTACTTCATTTCATGCTTATTAATTCATTTGCTAAAATTGGATATACAATGAGAATAACATTTCGGAATATTACCAAATAATAATCAACTTGCTGCTTCAGTGTTTAGTGATCATAAAGTCACATGATCATTAGTGACGTGACAGTCTTCTAGGGAACCAGACTAAAATAGGAAACTTTCTGTGTTTCTACCATTGTCTTCATAAGTCTGACACGATGTTGTCTCCTGCTTCCCTCAGGGTTTGCAGTGGACTCTTCTGAAAGAAGAAGAGGTCATCCCCCATATCTTGGCCATGGAGGGTCGGCGAGGTCGTCCACCCAACTCTGAGCGGCAGTCGAGGGGCGGCAGCGAAGTTTCGGGCAGCCGGCGGCGAAAGGGCCGCCCCCCCAATCTAGGAGAGAGCGAATTCCCAAGTCCCTCCGAGGCCAAACTGCTGCGCAAGCTGGAGGCTCAGGGTAAAGTGCCTCTATTTGACTTATACACCTCATTCATAGATAATAATGCATATATTGATGGAAGAGATTTGTCTGTTTTCATAACAGAAATCGCCCGGCAGGCGGCTCAGATGAAGCTCATGAGAAAACTAGAAAAACAGGCACTCACTCGGGCTGCCAAGGAGGCCCGCAAACAGCAAGGTTCTTCACGATTATGAATACCACTCGATTGCTCACAATGACGATCATGTTCAGACGTCTTGCTGAAATCTTGTTCTTGCTGAAATCTCTCTTTCAGCTATCATGGCCGCAGAGGAGAGGAGGAAGCAAAAGGAACAGTTGAAGATTTTCAGACAGCAGGTGAGTTTGAAAAGGAAACCGGTTTTCGGTCAGCCTGAGGGTCACTTGATATGAGATTATAGTGTTAATTCAGAAAAGAGACTGACGGTGCTTCTACGACTGCGGCTCGGCTGCCAGTCGACTTTTTTAAATGCACAGCAGCACTTTCAATTAACAGACTTCCTCCTCCTCTCCTACCAGGAAAAGATAAAGCGTATTCAGCAAATCCGTATGGAGAAGGAACTCCGCGCACAGCAGATTCTCGAGGTATGGCGTGACTGCGGAAAGAAAATAATAAATTAAAAGAGTTGAAATAGGCTTAACATTCTTAAAATACACGCCACCCCCTTCAGTTCCTGTTTAACATGGAGCCCAGACCACAGCAGAATCACTCAACAGCATTTTGGGGCTCTGAATTCTGCATAATTTTCTTCAGGACTAATGCTAAATTGGTTTTGGTGGACAGTTTTTGAATATTAAATTTGCTGCCTCCTGTGTTTCAAACCAGAGGTAAATTAGACATAAAAGATTTTTTTCCATCAGACAATGGCAGTTCTTGCATAAGTAGCATGAGGAAGACACTGTTTATTTTACTCACCCAATTATAGAGGCTTCAAAAGTGTTTTAGCTGGGCAAAATCAAATTGGAGCTGACACGCTTGGCAAGCCATTCCGAACAGGATTTCTTGCTGTTTGTAATTACGTATTTAAATTTTCAGCTAATTCGCCTTTGCTTTCTTTTTATATTGCCGTTGTCAGAGCCCCGAGGAATATTGAATAGCATTGACGATCTCGGTGCTGATTCTGACACGGACTTGAGGAGAAAACATTCTCAATCACTGACTCAGTGATCTGTAGCTAGAGAAAGCGCAACAATGGCAAGACGTGAGACAGAAGGGCTTTCCTGTGCGTGTGTGTGTGTGTGTGTGTGTGTGTGTATATGTTTCGATGCCAGCTCTCGCTTTTCCTCTCGCAGACACATCAATCAAAGTGTTAGTATAAGTTATAAATAAAACAGATGTTGGTTTAGCATGTTTAATTTAGGTTTATACCCAGCACGGCAGCACTGGTCTGACCCAGACCTGTTTTGCATTGGCAGGCAAAGCGGAAAAAGAGAGAGGAGGCTGCCAATGCCAAAATGTTGGAGGCGGAAAAGCGAATAAAGGTCAGTTTGTGAGAAAAATGCTGAGTGCATCTTTTTATGTCTTGTACACATGGGGCCCTCACTAGAATACACATCCTGCTCTAAATAGCCTTTTTTATTTAAATGAAGTTTTTTGTAGAGTATTATGACTTTGTCACATCTGCTAGCTTTACAGCCATCTTGTATCATACATACACATTTAAAATATACAGCCTTTCTTAGAGCAGTTTGATCAGTGTTGTACTTGTACGGTACAAATAAGTTTGTATAACAATAACAGTGTACCACGATCCAGTTATTTTGAGGAAAGTTTGGCGTCAGTTTTTTTTTTTCTTTTAAATACTTTTATGTACACTTTTAAGTACACTTTTTAACATTGTTACAAGAAATTCAAATAAATGCTGTTATTTTGACCTTTCTATTTATAAAAGAATCCTGAAAAAAGTGAATCATGGTTAAGACCGAAGGCTCAGACAGGATTCTGATTGATGGTTTCATTTTAGGCTGTGTCATAGTGAGTGTTTTGGTGTAGCATTGAATCGTTTTTATGTTTTGTGCTTGTAGGAGAAGGAGATGAGACGCCAACATGCTGTTATTCTCAAGCACCAGGTCAGTCACCACTCTCATAAATAATAGCTCTCATAATGGCCATTTATATAGTAGTAGTGATTAGTAGTGATGAGTAGTAGTAGTATTTTTGCTACAAAATGCAGGAGAAAAGAATGGAAAGGGCATGTTTTTCTTGTAGAGTTCACAGTCACCATCTGAAATGCAGTGCATTATGGGTTAAAAAGTGTCCTTAATTAGATTTGTTCAGTATATGCCCATGTAAGAAGTGGCGAGTCTCATGTGGTTGTGTCTTTAACTTTCTGCTGTTTCTCTCTGGTTAATTTCCATGCTGTTTTTGGGAGTGGGGTCTGTCTCTTTGGGGTTACAAGCTGAAGTTTTGAGTTTGTTAATTTTTTTCTTTTCTTTTTTAATGACGCTGTGATTTTTTTTCTGTCTCATAATACTCTGCCAACTCTCTCTCTCAGGAGATGGAGAGGCATAGACTAGATATGGTATGGGTATGTTTCATCTTCTGTACATCTAACACTCGCATCGTGAATCCTGGTTGTGATATGATGTCATAGCAGCACATTTTTAAATGTAGCACTGGCTGCTGTCAAAACTACATTTTCCTTCTGCATGGCTTTTCAAGCAAAAAAGAGAACAAAAGAAACAAACTGCATCGCCTACATCTGCTATGTGTGTAAATGAGAGAAAACTGGCTTTGATGCAGCAGGCCTGTGCCTTGTTTGTGTATGTGTGTGTGTGTACTGTGTGTGTATGCGTGAGTGTGTGTGTGTGTGTGTGTCTATGGAGCCTGTTGAGTACATACCCTCATTGGTGGAAAGTGCCACACACCCTCATTCCACATGTAAAGTCACCCCAATATTGTGTATTATCATTATTGCTGTGAAAATGTGAGTGTTGGTGTGTATGTGTGTGCAAGTATGTATGTTGTGGCAGACTCTTTGTCAAGATGTTGCATTTGCACTGTGCTGATCGTCCTGCCTGTGAGGTCATCAGTACAGGTCAAAGGTCATAGTGCCTGACCAATGAGAGAATTTTAGGAAACTCACACTTCTCTCTGTTGTACGTTCCATGCCATCTGTGGGTCAGATATGAAGATTTTACACTAATTGGCTTTGTCGTTAAAGTCAACATGAAACTGCATTCGCAGCCCATTTTGCTTCCTTAGTGTAATGTTTTTCAGAGTAAAATATTTAACAAATTAGCGCAGCACATAATTTTCCACTTCATTCCATTGATTGGATTGTAAAAAGTGGATGTTCCATACCATAATGGAGCCAAACCTGAAAGTGAGTTTGCTAAAAAAAAAAAGAAAAAAGAAGAATATTTTGCCTAGTTAAGGGTGCATTCTGTAATTTTTAAGATTTACAGATAAAGAAATTAACAATACTTCTGATAAATATATATTAAAAAAATTACACTCACATAATATAAAGATTCATATCAGTCATATCAGTAGTACAGTAGGGTGACCAGACGTCCCTGTTTTCCAGGGACAGTCCCGGTTTTGGTGTCATGTCCCCAACTGGAGCTGGCACTGGAAATGTCCCCATTTTACAGCATGTTCAAAACAATGATTACTTTTACCAGCAGAGGGCGCTGCAAGCTATACGGATTACTAGTCGCTACTGTCATGGATTTGTATACGTAAATGCCTCATTAGCGACTGTTTCAATGGGCCGCTATACATAAGCCGTCCGCCATATTCGAAGGGTCAACTTGACATCATTCACCATAACAGCCGATGGTCATTTAAAAACACAAACCAACACATTCTCACCTGTGAGGGGTTATCCCGTTTCATTGGGAATTTAAATCCCGGCGGTTTTTACAACCATCGGATGTGCAGGATTTTGGCATCTTCGAATATTCATTTATTATTGTGAATGACGTCAAGTTGACCGTTAAAGATGGCGGACACGTCTACGTGCTTGGCGCAGTCGAATGGGGCATCTACCATTACATATCTATGGCTACTGTAGCCATGAAGAACTTGGACGAGAGCAGAGTGCTATTATCATCAATTATCAAAAGAGACACTGTTATTGGTTTCAAGGTAGTCACATACTAACTATACATGTTAAAACAAAGTAATACTGTTTGTGTGCACTTTATAACAAGGCATGATAAGGTTGCGGGATTGTTTTGCACACAGTATTAAACATTCCTGAAACTTCCACCGTCACAATCCGAAATCAATCAATCAATCAGTCAAAAAAAAAGAATAATAAATAAATAAATACAATTTTTCACTTGCAGAATGCACATACTTTGTGGTCAAAATGAGCCAAAAATGCAAAATAATAAGCCTGATTAGGGAAAGTAAAGATCCATTTCCAAAAGCATATTTATCATATGTCCTGTATTTTATTTTTAATATGTTTTTGTAAAGTCATAAATTTGTTATAATCCTATTTTGATCTATTTACTGCAATAGTTGGTATTTACTTTTCATAGTGTGATTTTTTTGTGAATTGTAGGCCTATTAATAAACTAAAGTAAGTTTGATCCTCAAACATCATTGTAATTATTAATTATGATATTAATATATGGAAATCACAACCATTAAAGGGTTAGTTCACCCAAAAATGAAAATTCTGTCATTACTCACCCTCGTGTTGTTCCAAACCCGTAAGACCTTCGTTCATCTTTGGAACACAATTTAAGATATTTTTGATGAAATCTGAGGGCTCTCAGTCATGATACTGTCGCGGACGCGCGTCCACAACGCAGTCGTGTTTTGCCAACTGCCCAATGACACAGTAGAGACGAAAATGTGGAATAAAGTCGTTATTTTTGTTTTCTTTCCGCAAAAAAAGTACTCTCGTAGCTTTGTAACTTTACAGTTGAACTACTGATGTCACACGGAACAAAAAACATACACAAATACACCGTCCCTGTTTTTAATTTGAAGATAATCACAAGTGAGATTTTGATCATATTTTGATCACCGAACTAGGAAATGTCCTGATTTTCAGACGTCTGGTCACCTTATAGTACAATGAAAGTTGTAATTTACTTGGAGTGGGTCTCTTCATGGGGGCAGCCATGTTGAGATCATAACACATAACTAACCAAATACTGCTAATTTCATCTTGGTTAACAGCCTTGTTTTTAAACAATTTAATTTGTAGATCTAATAAGTTTGACATGCGAAAATATATCGGTAACTGAAACTTGCATGATGCTACATCCACACCACTAGATGTCAGTATGACTCCAAGACATTGGTAGGGCAACATAAAAAACAAATTACTGATGCACATTTAACATGATCCAATGATGTCAGCCGCAAAGTAGTTATTTGCCAGTCTTACATTTTAAAGAAAGATACTCTATAAGATCTGAAATGTGTATTAAGAAAGTAAATTGGGTCATTTATAGCTTCATGTTGACTTTAAATTCATAACATTGACATAGCAATGTGCTTCACTGTAAGGACAGGACATTGAGGCTGAGGGAAATCTGATGTATTTTCCCTTGTTAGCTTGTAACAGTAGCTACGCTAATCTAACTCAAGATGCACCGACAAGCTTTCCTCCTCTGACCTGCCCATTACATCTGTGGCTTTTCTTTTCGCTCTTTTGTTCCCGTCTGATCAGCTGTAACACACGTTTTTGTGGCTACCTCATCCTGGCCATAGCAATGTGTCCGTTCTACACCTACTTTTTTTCTCTCTCTCTCTCTCTTTCTGTGCAACATGCTAAACCACGCTGATCAGTTTTATCGTCTGTCTCTGGCTTTTATACTTTGTTTGTTTTCTCTGTGTGGATCTGTATGCTCTGCTTTCCTCCACTGAACGATGGAATCATTCTGTCTTTTCAGGAGAGGGAGAGGAGGAGACAGCACATTATGCTAATGAAAGCTGTGGAGGCTCGGAAAAAAGCTGAGGTGTGCAAAACAAAATAAATAAATAAAGGAACACTGTCCTTCACCACTCCGCTCTCCTCTCTGCACCTCAAGGCTTTCTCACGTGTCACGTCTACCTGCTCTGCTACACTCCCTGAATGTGTTTCACCAAATAATTTTGATGTAGTTTGATAAAGTACCCTTAACATTCCTCATTTTCCAAAACAAAGTTTTCTTGTAGAACATAATACACTAATGTCAAACACGCCTGATGTGGCATCCAACCGGTTTGTGAAGTCTTTCTTCCACCCCGCAGGAGCGTGAACGCCTCAGGCAAGAGAAACGTGATGAGAAACGGCTCAACAAGGAGCGGAAAATGGAGCTCCGGAGGCTGGAGCTGGAGATGATCCGTGAGATGAAGAAACCCAATGAAGACATGTGTTTGACAGATCACAAGGTAATGGAACTGGATATCGGACCAAACAAGAGCAAACTTTGCAGTTTAAAAATCAACTTTAATCATCATAAATGAAACTTTTATTCAGAATGCTTGTTTTGTAATATTTTGTTTTATTCATCAATTAATGAACCATTAACATAAATGCTCATCCAATCAGAACTCTCAGAGGTATAATGTCACACAAATCTCACCAAAGCACTTGACAGTGAATTCAGCTGAGACAGAATACTGCCACCTAGTGCTGATAAAGATGCATAATGATGAAAGTTGGCAGCCTTGTATCTTAGACCAGGAGTTTTCGAACTTTTTGATGCTAATATACACAAATTTTGATGTGAGACCCCTTTCTTAAGATATAATGGCTGCTGCGTGATTTTATGTATAATGGCCCATTTATACAGTGTAAAAAAAACATTACTCGTTATGCTGTAAAGTCAACATGTTGCTTCCAAAATTAAGTGGCTTTTATATTGTAACTGTACTGAAGACAAAACAAATTATTATATCATTATCTAGAGCAAGGTTTCCCAAACAGGGGTTTGTGAGGGAACTGCATGGGGTTTGTGAGTTGATGAAAAGCTTAATTATATCTAATGTAAAATAAAAATAAATAACTGGGACTGCATAATAATTTCGATATAACTTAGTGTGATTATCAAATCAAAGGCTCCAATTTACTTAATAACTGACAGTAATAGTCCGATGTGCTGCAAGTTTACAAGTGAAGCATGCAGCGCATTTAATTATTATAATTATCAAGTACATTTTTAATTTTATTTTACAGTACAATTGTAATTTACAATAGTAATATAATTTTGTCTTAATTTTTATAATTACAGTTAAAAATTTCTACTACTAATCCATACTACTACTACAAATAATAATATTGATAATAATAATAATTATTATTATTATTGACATCAGAGAGCCATGAACATACAAATATATCATTAAATAATTAAAATATTAGCTTAAAATCTCAGGGGGGTACTCCAAGTAAGTAATTTACATTTAAGGGGTTTGGCTGACAAAAAAAATTGGAAACCCCTGATCTAGAGAAGTGTTAATTTGACAGTGGAATTTCCCCCCACCCTATGTTAAGAGTCGTGTTGGATGAATAAGCAAAACAACTTTAAGGGCATTAAATTGTTTTTATATAGATTTTTAAAAATATATTTTTATTGTCCCAAGTTAGAAACATTAATACGGACTATAATACAAGAAAGTTAGGTGAAGGCCCACTCAAAAAAAACAAAACAAAACAAAAAAATATATATATACACACAAAAATAAATACATACATATAAATATATTTTAATGCTCAGTATTGGTGGCTGTAATGGAATGAGGATGAAATAGTGAATCACTTTAACTAAAGCGGCTTGAAAGACATTTTTTCATTAGAAACATGTTATTGCAACATGATGTTTACAAATGGTCTGTCTCACTTGTTTGTCTATTTCTGTTTCTCTCTTCTCTCGCTGTAGCCCCTTCCTGAGATTCCTCGTATCCATGGTCTGGTTCTGCCCGGGAGTGTGTTTGCAGACTGCCTGATGGTGGTGCAATTCCTGCGGAGCTTTGGGAAGGTTCTTGGCATGGATCCCTCAGAAATGCCCACTCTGGGTATATTGCAGGAGGGACTGCTCAACCTGGGCAACAGCATGGGGCAAGTGCAGGATCTGTTGGTCCGGCTACTCTCGTCTGCTGTGTCTGACCCAGGGTTGCCTCAAGGACACAGGGTGAGGAGGAAATGCCTGGAGATTACTTCAGTGTGATTGTCGCTGTAATAAGTGTACTTTCAGGCCTGTTTACACCTGCTATTAACATCTGTCTCAAGTGATCAGTGCTCAGCAGAGACACATTTCTGTTTACATCTGATATTAACATGCGTCTCCTGTGAGTGCTTGTGATCAAATTTAATCGAGGAAAGAGTCTGGTTTAATGAAACTCATAAATCACTTACTAAGTCAATGTGCCACTGCATATGAATGATCTGTCTATCTTTGGTTAAAAGGGTTAGCAGAATTGCAACTGTTCCCTTTTCTCCATCAGGCTAAGTCTATCTTGGGTGACCACCTGACCAATGTGGGTCTGAATCGGGACAACGTGTCTGAGGTTTTGCAGCTGTACATGGAGGCTCACTCCTCTCAGACTGAGCTAGCTGATCTTGCTACGAGTCTGAGGACCAAAGCCTTTCAGGCCCACACACCAGCTCAGAAAGCCTCTGTCCTGGCCTTACTGGTAAATGAGCTGTCCTGCAGTAAAAGCGTGGTCAGGTAAGAACCAATAAATTCCACTTATGTTTTCAGAGTTCAGCTGCAGTGATTCTTGATGACTTGGTTGATTTTTACATTGGTACTGAACACAACTGTTATACACGATGGCATTTTTTTTGTAAGTTATCACAACACAACATAATTTTTCAACTTGGATACAATAATAATTCATAAAGAACAATCAACCGACTTTGAAAGTTAACAATGTTATATGCTTAAAGTTATTGTTATATGCATAGACCATTAACTGTATAGGGTGACGAGATGTTTTAAAATGAGGCAAGGAATTATTTTGTTCACTTTAAACAAACAGCATCTTTTTTGAGAACCATGTCACACCCCTATCAACATTAATTCAAAATCAACTAATTACACCAATGCAAGACATTCTTAAACTCAAATGATTCATGTTTGGACTATCAGGCCTGCCAGGGCACTATGAAATATTCATTCATTTTTAAATAATAGGGAATAAAGAGGCGGTGGAGAGGTCACAGATAGTGTGACGGTCACAGAGCTTTGAACACTTAATGCATATTAACACTGCAACCTCAAAAGCTTGAGCTCATCATGTAACAGTATCACACATATATGTCATGTATCGACCAGTGTTATTAACTAAACCAAAAACATTTTTGTTGAAAAAAGCTGAAATAACATTTATATATATATA